TCATGCATTAACTTCTTAAAAAGAAAATAATAGATCTTGATTTTGAGAAGGCTGCCCAGTTACTAACATTTTCCTTGCAAATTTAATCAAAAGTGGGTCAAAGAGATGAAAAGTGAAGTGAATAAAGGCTTAGAGTGTGGCAGGAAAGGAGTGTCACTAATTCACAACAGGCAGGCACTGGGGAGGCCAGAAGCACAGAACCGCTGTGTCCCCAAACACCCTGCCCTGCACCCAGGCTCCAGGTTCACTGAAATGAAGCTCCATGAAACAATAAAAGCAGAGTGCTACCAACTGGAGTTCCTTTGACCCTAGGAGAGCTGTGGGTGTTAATAGCATTTACATTTATACGGGATTAGGCAATTTCCTTCCAATTAGAGAACAAGGCAAGAGTTGAGGAAATGTATTTCATCTGAGGTCTAGAAGCCACTGGAAATCCTTCTGGCAACCCTGTGTGGATTTCAAGGGATGGCTGGGAAGTGCACCATTAAACTGTCAGTGTCTAGAAGAAGCGCTTAAAGGAACGTCAGAGAGAGAAAACTGTTTCCATCAGGGCTGAAGGTCGTGTCACTGTGCCCACCAGTGCCTGCAACTTGCTATAAAGCCTTTACTTTGTTTGTCTTACACAGGGATGTTTGTTTTCTAAAGTTCATTTATTTCTTCCATGTGACAAACACAAGGGAGAGAGAAGCATCCCAACAGGGCCTGCCCCTGGCTCAGCCAGCCCAGGAGTGCCCAGGCACTTAAGCCCAGTGACTCAGGAAAGTGTTGCTGCAAATGGGGAACCCTCCCCGGTGGGAGCAGCTTGCAGAGACCTGTCTTACCAGTGCTGCCTCACAGCCTGGCCTTAGGAATGTCTTGTAGTCAGGTTTGGGAAACGTGTATCTCTTAGCTACTAAAACATGTTTGTAAAAGGGTCTTCATGGGCCCCTATGGGCAGCGCCTCAGTCTCAGGGCCCCTGGGTGGGTCTGCCCTCCCAGAAAGCCTGGGGTACAATGGTCTTCTGTAACAGCTCTGCCTCACCCTCCTCCCTGTTATTTCCTGGATGAAATTAGTTGGGGTTCAACAATTGTTCTTTCTCAGGACCAGCAAGTAGCATAATGGCTGTGTTGCTGAACTCCCACGTAGTCGACTGCGGTTCGAGTGTCGGACTTGGTGGCTTAAACTCACACCGGGCACGTGTGCGTGCGTGCGTTCCCAAGATCCCGAGAGGAGAATGGCGAAGGGATTGCGGCTTGGCCCTCCCCCCTGGGGGTGATTTCTCACTTTCTGTCTCTCTGTCTCTCTCTGTCTGTCTGGTAAGTGTATGCGCCCTATAGCGAAAACCTCTCCGGGAAAAAAAAAAAAAAAAGAAAAAAAAAAAAAAAAAAAGAAAAAAAAAAAAAAAAAAAGAAAAAAAAAAAAAAAAAAAGAAAAAAAAAAAAAAAAAAAGAAAAAAAAAAAAAAAAAAAGAAAAAAAAAAAAAAAAAAAGAAAAAAAAAAAAAAAAAAAGAAAAAAAAAAAAAAAAAAAGAAAAAAAAAAAAAAAAAAAGAAAAAAAAAAAAAAAAAAAGAAAAAAAAAAAAAAAAAAAGAAAAAAAAAAAAAAAAAAAGAAAAAAAAAAAAAAAAAAAGAAAAAAAAAAAAAAAAAAAGAAAAAAAAAAAAAAAAAAAGAAAAAAAAAAAAAAAAAAAGGAAGAAGAATTAAAAGCAATTGTTCTTTCTCTTCAGAGGAAGAAGTCTGGCCTGAGGACGGACTTTGCCAATGTCCAGGGCGACTTGGGGCCTGGATGTGCTCACCACGGCGCATGAGGACCTGCCTACGGGCGAATATTTATCACCTCACACCACTTCACCCCAAAAACAAAGCAGGAAGAGATCCAAAGGAGAGCCCTGGTGTGCAGCACCCTCCCCGTGGCTGACAGCCCAGGCACAGCTCTCAGTGAGAGAGACTGCTCAGGTTGATCTGAGCCCTGGGGATGCTCAGTATACCTAGTCACTGGAGACCAGCTGCTGCAGGCTGCACAGCCCAGCACTGACTTCCTGTAATGGGAAGGGGCCCTGAGCCCAGAGGCTGAGCGATGCCCCAAATGTGAGTTTGAAGGAGCTGGCGCAGAGCAGGGCAGGTTCTGAGCTGGGACCTTATACTCTATTTGAACCTGTCTATCTGGTTCTTATCAAAGGGGCTGGCAATGCTTTGTGCTGATAACAGGCTGTTTTCATATCCCCTGACCTGTAGGCCTGCAGGGCAGGTTCAGAGCAGGCCTGGGGCCAGGAGACACACAAGGAATGCTTGGAGAAAGGGAAAGATGTGGGGGTGGGGATGAGAAACTTGGATCTACATAAAGAAGGAAGCGCAGGGACCAGCAGGTGGTGTGGTGGTTAAGGTGCTGGATACTCCCACATGGCTGACCAGGGTTTGAGTCCTGAATCTGATGGCTTGCTTTCTCACTTCCTCTCTCTCTCACTCTTACCCTCTGTCTCTCTCTGGTCAGATAGACAAATAAATAAATAAATAAACAAAATAATTATTAAAAAAAAAAAGAAGGAAGAGCATTAGACAAGGAAGAGTGAAGGTAAAATCAAATAACAACAATAATAATGCATTCAGTGATTGCGGCCTGTGGGTGAGTGAATGAATGACAGCAATGTTCTAAGGGGCAGAGGAAGGGTAAGCACACGGTTACAAAGTGCCTGTGCTACTTGTGCAGTGGAATGGTGCTGTTCAAAAACAGACTTGATTGATTGTAAACATATACTGCAAACTTTAGAGAAACTATTGGAAAAGTTGTAAAAATAAATATAATTGATATGCTAAGAGAAAAAAATGAAATCACGTGAGGGGACTTTAAAAGGTTTGTGGAAAAATAGATAAAATATAAATTTGTTTTTGCAAGAGAATTTTGAAATGCAGGCATTTTTCATAACAGGCAGTTCTGTGAACTTTTTGAAGACCTCTCCTCCCCCAAATATTACTCTATTAAAATGAGAAAAGGCAGAAAGAGTAGAAGACAAATAAAAAAGAATAGAAACAGAAAAGTTATAAATATTAATTAAATCCTATCAGTAATCACTTTACATGGAACGGTCTAAAAATGCTACATACTGTACGATTCCAACTATATGACATCCTGTCAAAGGCAAAATGATGGGGATCAGTGGTTTCCAGGAGTCAGGTGGGAGGCATGGAGAGTCAGAGCCCAGAGGATTTTTAGGGTTGGGAATCTATTCCCTGTGGTATGGTAATGGCGGGCATCCCTGTCAAACACAGAGAATGGTGCAGCGCAAAGTGGATGGTGCCTTTCCCTGGGTGGGGAGCAGAGGCTCTGGCTGCTCCAGCCTGGCTTCTGGGCCCTGGTCCTGGTCTCCCAAGCGCTGCTGACCATGCTGGCTGTGGTGCAATGGGTGGAACCCAGCTGATGTTCACAGCCCTCCATGACACGTAGCGTGGCAGGGCTGCCTCCCTGCTCAGGCCACCCAAGTGACCTGGGTTCCCAAGGCACTTTTTAAATGACTTGTTCAAAGGGCCTGTTGACTAGAACTTCTAGTCAACAGCCCAGGGGCACCTGTGTTCAGCGCCGCTCTGTGTCCTGAAAGCCAACACCCTGCCTGGTAACCCTCCATCCTGCTCAACACCTCTACTGTGTCTCTCTTGTAGGGAGGGCTGTGAGCGCCTCCAACTTTTGTCTATTAAAAAAGAGCCGTGGTAAGTACAATAGTGTACATATAATTATGAAGCGAAGGAAAAAGCACCTACCAGAACTGGTTTAAACAGAAATGTAGATCCCACTGATTTATATAACAAGAGGGCACAGGAAAGGAAAAGAAAAAACCCAGAATTCTCATCTTAACACGAGAAAAATATAGGTGTCAACCAGAGCCTGTTTGCTCCACTGTTTAAAAGTCTTATTCTCCTTCTACACTAATAACATCTGAGAAAATATTCTATTTACTGAATTCTGTAAATTGGGAAGAGAACTGGATCAAAAACGGACAAGGAGGAGTCTCTATAACTGACACACCCTTTCACTGCCCAAGGGGAGCAAGCACCTGACACCAACAGTGAGAGCCCGCCTCCACTAACCAAACCTCGGATGAGGGTCAGACCCAGATCGAACCTTTGGAATTAACACCTGCAGCACGGTGGGCTGACCTGCACCAGGGAGCCTGGCTGCTCCAGCCCCACAGTGTCTCAGGCATGGACATGTTGGCTGGGGCCTGGACAGGAAGTTTCCATTAAGGGGATGCCAACAGTGCCTGCCTAACATTCCCCTCACTTTCTGGAAGAGATGCACATGGAAAGCCCATGGTGATCTACTGGTAGAACGACTCCCCTACTGCTGCTGAAACAATGCAGGTGCCACAGAAACACCCAAGTCTCCAGACAGCACTGAGATGAGGAGCCCTCAAAGCTGGTGGAGCCCACCATTCCCTACCTCGGTGAATAGCACGACCATGGCCTCCTGGTCTGAGCCAGCAGCTGGGAGGCTGCCCACACACCCTCCCCTGGTCTGTGCCCTGTGCCCATTCCTCCCAGCCTGTCAGTCTCCCTCCTGCATTTATTTCTCTACCACCACCTCTACTGCCACCTGGTCCCCTGACTCTGCACCAAAAGGTGCCCTGTGGCCTGTCTCGCCGTCTACTGGGTTGCCTTTCCGCTACCTCCCTGATCTCCAGCCTACTAGCTCTCTCTGACCAGCAGCCTATGTAAGTCCTGTTCCCCCCGTGATCTGTTCCTGCCACCCCTGCCTGTGCCCTAATCAGTCCCATCTACCCTTCAGACCTATCTTTGGGGAGCCTACCTCCATCTCCCTAACAAGGTCAAAGCGCATGCTTGCTTGTGCACTTTTCTAATTCCTCTCTACAGAGAGCAAGTAGCTCTTCTCACTTCATTCCTTATGCATCCAAATCTGAAACACAGCAGGCACTCAACAAACACTTGTTGAACAGATGAGGAGGTGAACACAAAGTAAGTATGATATTTACGTAAAATACAAAAACATTTACAATGAGCTGGCTGCCCACCTTGAACTCTGCAGATGGAGTTGATAGGTGTGCCAGGGTTCAGTTCGTCGAGCGTCACCGGGGCAAGCAGCTCCTGGGAGCCGGCCTCAGAGGCCACACACGGAAGGGGCTTTTGAAGCAAGAGGACAGTCCGTTCAATACAGACAATTAGACCTGCCAAGAGACACTTCGGGTTAGGAAAGCACTGAGAAAAAGTGGGTCTCCCTGCCAGTAAAGACCATCCGCTTTGCTGGCCTCCCAGGCTGCCATGCAGGCAAGAGGACAAGCAGGGGCCGTCTGCCTCTGGTTCCAGGCCGTCTGGCGGTACACGTGCTTTGCAGAGTACTCAAACCCTGGGAGCTCAGCTGGAAAAGACAAATACTAGACTCAAATTCAATTTGGAAAGGGTAAGTTTTATAGTATGTGAGTTATATCTCAAAATAAGAAAAAAATAAATATATAGGCAGGATTTTACATTGAGTCCAGGAAAAAAAGGCCAAATGACCTATGCATATACATTAGTATATTCTAGCTCTTGCTTTGTTTTAGAAAGGGCTCTTCCAGGCCACAGCCTCAGATGGCTTCTGCACCAACACAGCTGCCTCTGTGGGGCTGAGCCCTGGGGGCTGGATTTGCCAAGTGGCCACGGTGGGGTTGGCAAAGGCCTGAGGCCAGCCCGGGTCAGCAGTGCTGAGCAAGTTGGAGGCACCCAGACCCCAGGAGGGACTTAGTGGGCACCAGGCAGTGGGTGTACCCTGGTCTCGCAGAGCATCTCTGAAGAGGACACGGTGAGGTCGAGCCACAGTGAGTGCTTCCAGGACTTCTGGGCCCAGCACACAGGAAGGGGCCACGCAGACCGGCAGGGTTCTGGGGAGCCTGGGGTCACTCTCATCATTTGCTTGCAGGCTAATGTCGGTCACGAACAGCCAAATCTCCCTTTGCTCAGGAAGAAGCAGACTTTTCAGCTGCAGTTTGAAGACACAGTAAAGACCATTCACTTGACTGTTCTTATATCCAAAGTTAATTTTTTTCCCCAGAGTACACTGTATATTGTCTCAATAAAGCACATCAACAAACATGCTATTGTCAGCAAATAATCTTCCATTTCTTGTTTTCTGTATGTTTTGCCTCCCCCCCCCATCCTTGATTCCCTATCTCTTACCCTCTGCCATCTCCCACTCTCCTCCCACACTGTCTCTGGTATCTATGTTTGCTTTCTGTACTGTTTTCCCCCCACATTTTATTGAATCACCAAAGACCCTAATCAATTCAAATACCCTCCTAGCAAACACAGGTGACACACACATTTCCATGAACACAAGTCTAACTTTACACATCCTATGAAGTAGCACCTAGCTGGGGCTACATATCCTACTGCAGTCATTGAATATATATATATATTTTTTTTCCTGAAACTTTTTTTTTTTTGTAACTCAATTT